ACCCTAAACCCAAAGCCCTATAAACCGTAAATATAGGGTTTAGGGTTGAAACGCAAGGTTCAGGGTTGAAGCTCCGAGCTTGATTTCGAAGCTTGGGGTGAATGATTTACGGTTTTGGGGTTTTGGACGGAGCATGAGTGGACCCGACCTCATTTTCGATGAGTTTTCGATGATTTTTCGAGGGCCTGGAAAAGAGGCTTTTTTGGAGGATGCCTTAGGAAAATCTTCGTGGGCACTCACACACACACACACTTTAGGGATTCAAGTTTAAGCACTCAACGTCGAGAGGTCATGGGTTGAGCGACAACCTCCTGCCCAAACCCAAATACCTGAACTTAGTTGGAAGCATTGCGGTCAGACCTCGACACCCCGAAGCAAACACACGCGCGTGCGTATTCAGAACCGTCGCAGGGCAAGAATCTCTGATGCCATGCAGAATCGTTTCAAGCTAAGTTGTCTTGTGCGGTACGTATCCAGACCAGGTTTTACCTACGCTGGAAGAAGCGGTCTCTAGTCAGAAATCGCGGTAGACTGAGCCTGGCCAGTTGCAACCATTCCCGAAGATGCGAACACCGAATTCCGAATTCGAAGTCAGTGGCTTTTTGGAATTTCGTATAGGAGGCAAATCGCATGAGCTACCAGACAGGAAGAGAGTCTTTCCTCCGCCGCCGGCTTCCTTCCACTGGTCCCCATAGTAGTAGGCACCGTTGTCGGTCCAGTAGGAAAGATAGTTCACAACCTTACTTCCCCAATAAGCCAGGGAAAAAAAAAAGGTCAACCTTTCAGATTACTACTAAGATATAAGCACCCAAAAAGTTTAAAGGTTGGGTATTGGAGAACTAAGCAACAGGGTCAGACTGCAAGAAAGGCCGCGAGGTGCCGTAGGCATGTCGAAGAAACGTGCCAAACTTGTCCATGGCCCTCACCATCTTGGGGCTGGGGGTCTGGAGTCTAGGATTCAGGGTTTAGGGTTTGGGATTTGCGTGGTGCTAACATAAGTTCTCCTTTGACACTGAAGCTTCAAACCCGAAAAGTTGGAGGTTTTGGGTATAGGTTTTAAGGTTTAGGTTTTAGGGTTTAGGTTTAGCGTTTAGGGTCTACCTACCCAGCTACTGAGGATCTGGCTTTCGGGTTGTTGCGCGCGTCAGGGATATCTCGTCCTAGAAACACCATCCTACTCACTGCTTTGCGGGTTTCAGGAATACTTGGAGGATCGTGCGACTTAGTAAGTAGGGCTTTAACTCCTTTATTATTGGTCTCATAGATAGTTATAAGTACTATAAGTTAAGCCTAATAACATCCCTATAATTGCTAAGTCCCATGAACCTTTAAGTACTAGTATACCGACCAATGGATGGGCAGCCTTCTGGCCAAGAATCTTCAATATAACTAACACCAAAGTCCTGAAACCCTGCATGGATGTGTGCTCCCCGCATTTCCTTGTGATGCCAACATCTGCAACCAGGAGCGTGCGATGTGTGAATCCAGAGGGCACAGCCGTGACCTCGCTGGACACGCCCACATCCCAACTGCCCCGCGATGCATCATAGAAATGCCTTCGGCCCAGCTTAAGCGGAGGGCTTGGGGTGCGAGAGATGGGCGGGGATTCATTACGACAAGGCGCACAGACTCAGATAACGTGAACGACAGGAAACCCACAAGAATGCCCAGCTGCACCGAGTGTTTGAAGTTGTCCATCGGGGAGATGACAAGAGTGGTCCGGCTTTCATCGAAGAGGGCCACTGGCCCCGACAAAAGGCCGCTCAACTGCGAAGTCACGTTCCGCCCGTGCAGCGCCTTTACCTATAGGCCCATCTGACCCAAACGAAAAACGCGTTGGCTTTGTTGTCAAGCGTTTGGGTGTATAAACCCTTCAACCCTAAGACCTGTGGGCATATAAAGAAAACCGAAACTCGAACATAAGCCCTAAACCCAAAAAAACCTAAAGCCCCAAAGCCCTCAACGCCCCTAATAACCTAAAACCCTCATACCCTGAACCCTAAACTCTAAAACCCTCCAACCCTAAACCCTAAAACCTGAACCCTTCAACCTTGCACGTCTGAGGACTCAGGATCGAACTTAGTGCAGGGTTCAGGATATGGGGCATAGACCCGAAACCCTAAACCCTAAACCCTAAATTTTAATGGGCCCAAGTACCATGACCCCTTCCCAGAGAAGGAAGCCTAGAGTCTCCAAGCTCCCGGATCTCATGGAGGGAAAATTCAAGATCCTCGGCTAGTGTAAAGTGGTATGGGGCTTTTTCGTGGGCGCCAAAAGCCCCAAAGTTTAGGGTTTAGGGTTGAGGGTTTAGGGTCTAGGGTTGAGGGTTTTAGGGTTTTAGGGTTTAGGGTTTAGGGTTTACGAGGGGGTTTCGGGTTTACGGGTTCAGGGTTTTTGGGGTTTAGGGATTTAGGTTTTAAGCTTCGAGTTATCCTAACGGGTACATTGTAAATACTAAAACCCCAAATCCCGAAATCCTAAACCCAAAGCCCAAAACCCTAAACCCTAAACCCCAAGCCCTAAACCCTAAACCCCAATCCCTAAACCCTCATCCTTAAACCCTAAACCCTCAGCCCTTGAACCCTAAACCCTAAACCCTAACAACCTCAAGAGGAGCTCAGGGTCGGTGGATAGTTGCCTGCATTCAACTCATGACCTTGGCTGACTTCTGAACCCCTCCTAAAAGTTGAACTTTTGGCCTCCTTATTATAGTTCATATGTATACGTATATCATATTGTATAATATATATATATATATGCATATATATATGTATATAGAAACCCGAAGAGTTAAAGTCCTAAGAGCCAACCAGAAGACCGCCAAGTGACCATCCTCGGGAAGCTCTGGGTTCGACGCATTGGTGTTGGCAGCTCCCAGTGGCAGCTCCTGGAGTAGGATCTAAGGGTGTAAGGTTTTTAGGGTTTAGGTTTAGGGTTTAGGGGTTTAGGGGTTTACGGGTTTAGGGGTTTAGGGGTTCAGGGGTTTAGGGGTTTAGGGGTTTAGGAGTTTAGGGGTTTAGGGCTAGGCGTTTTTAAGCTTTAGCGGGGTGTAGGGTTTAGGGTGCTCGGGTTTAGGGTTTGGGGCAACTCCTGGATAAAGACCACCGCGCAGCTCCGGGCGTAAGTCTTCAGTGAAGTGTGAAAAAGGACATCTTGCGAAGGCGATCGGAGCGCCCAAGAAATATTGATGCAATCGAAGTTACCTAGATGGTCCTCTCCCCTGTACCGTTTCATGGCCCTTCGCCACATCGATGCGGACGTATGCCATGCCCCGTCTGCAAACAGTCTCAGTGGCGAGCTTTCTAGCCAGGTGTTTCCAGCCAGTCGAACGGCAAACGAAGCATCGTCCTGCAGGAAAGTGTATTGCACAAAAACCAGGTAGAATAAAAACACTTGTGCTATTACTGTAATATAGGGGCCTTACTAATTAGACTAGGGTTTGGGGGTATGTTAGGCTATAATTCTAACAACGAACCCCCGAAAGAATATAGGTAATTAGGACGTCCTCTATATTACATGCTTGTGCATCATGACCCTAAACCCTAAACCCTAAACCCTCAACCCTCAACCCTGAACCCTAACCACCTTGCCTTCAGTGAAACAGCAAGACCACAGGCGGCTTCATGTTCCCGAGCCGAAGGCACGAAAACCTGGTTCTGTAGGGTTTAGAGTTTAGGGTAGTTATAAGTGGGGTTATAAGTAGGGTAACTGTAATCATAGACCATATGAGGGGGCCGAAGCACGAAAACCTGCAGCAACAGGCAGATGAGGGGGCGCGGGGCCATCGCACGGTGCCCGCACGCAGGCTGCTGAGGCTGTGTAGGATTTGGCTTAGGGCTTAAGGGTACTACTCAGGGTTAGTAGCTTGAGAGTTTAGGTTGAAGGTAACGGTAACAGCTCCTGAGATATTGTCGCTTCTCTGCCTGACATCGCTTCCACAAGAGGTGCTCGCCGCATAACCCGATGTCTCGTTGGGTTGACTACCACCACGTGACAAGGCACCGGCTCGAGATGCGAAAGGCAAGCGCCAGGAAATCACCATCATCCTGTGGATTGTGTATTCAAAAAGTGTATGTATGTATATATATATATATATGCAAAGCAGGTTTGCGCATACGTATGTAAACATGCAGGTACAAGCGTCTCTGCTTGTATGAAGGGATGTACGGATGGATGTATTCATGGCTTATGGACTTGCGCAATGATGAATGTTAAAACGTCGTGTCCGCGGTTGCATTTGTGCTTTTGTTTTTGCATATTTGCATGTACCTGCATAGACTGCATGCATGGATGCACGCATGCATGTATGTATGTGTGCTCCTATGTATGCACGCACGTAGCTTGCATATTTGCATGGGTGCACGCAGGTGTGTATGCATGTATGCATGTATGCATGTATGTACGATTGCCGGGTGAGGATTCGGGTTTGGGGTTTCGGGACTTCGTCTCAGGCCTTGGAGCATTCTCGCTACAAAGGAGCCTGGTTGAACTTGCTGGGATTCCTAAATTGTTTTAATTTGAAACAATTCATGTTTTTTAAATTTACAACTATGCACCACTCTTTTCCCGCTGCTCCCACGCTGTCTTCGTCCGCAGCAATTCAAAGGCATCTTTTGCCCACTGCTTCAGGAAAACTGTTAGCAACCTCGGCTTGGGAACATCCACCCTCGACCGCCCAAAGCCCTACAGACCCGTAAAACTGCGATGACCCTAAGGCCTGTTTTGGGCGTTTCGGGTTTTGACTCTATTGGTCTAGAGTTTAAGGTTTTGGGTACTTCAGGGTTTTGAGTGTGGGCCCAAGCTCTGTTCCAGAGCAGACGGTTGTGTTGGCACTTGCTCTGATTTGCATCTTCTTCTGAGTGTGAGGCTACGGCTCAGGGCTTTGAGTTTAGCGAGTCTTCACGCCTCACGGCTTCGGGTTCAGGTTTTAGTTTTTATGGTTTCGGTCTGAAGGGCTTGCTTACCAGGGTCTAAAGTTTAGGGCTTATAGAGTCCCAGAATTTTACCACTTCCGAAATCTGAAGCCGGCCTTCGCAAACCTAAACCCCAAACCCTAAACCCTAAACCCTAAACCCTAAACCTCAACCTCAAAAATCAAAGGTAAATCTGCTCAACCCAAAGGGAAGCTCGTGAGCCCCCACATGCAGCTCGGCAAAACCCCAAAAAGCCCAACGTTAAACCGCAAACCCCTGATCCCAAAACCTAAACCCTAAACTTAAACTCTAAAACCTAAACTCTAAACTCAAGAATCTAAACCCTAAATCCCATACTCTGGACCTTAAAATAAGTCCCGGGGTGCTACGTCCATGGGATGATCTTTCGCTTCTGGACCAACTCTCCGCGCAAGTCTGCCGTTCCTGCCGGCAGTACAGGACTGAAACTTGCGAAGGAGAACAACAAGGGTTTAGGCCTACTACAAGGGTTACTAGAAGCAGTCAAAGTTAGGGTTTGGGTTTAGGGTTTAGGGTTTACTAAACCCTAAGCCCTAAACCCTTAAGCCCTACACCCTAAACCCTAAACCGGGTTGCTATAAGGACTCAAAACAGGGTTACCATAAAATTGATTTCGGTGGTTTTGGAGCTTTGGGGTTTTAGTGTTTTGGGCTTAGGGCTTTCGGCCTGGCGTTTGCTAAGCTTTGGGTTGACCGCTGTAACTTTACGGTTTAGGGTTTGGGCTTTAGGGTTTAAGGTTTAGGGTTTAGTTTAGGGCTTAGGGTTTAGCGTATGCCCTAAAAACCCAAACCAACTTGCTAAGTCCCATGCTACTTCCCAAAACCCTAAACCCTAAACCCTTAGCTTTAAATCCTAAACCCTTACAAACCCTAAACCCTAAGCCCTAAATCCTAAACCCTAAACCCTAAACCCTGAACCCTAAACCCTAATTCAATTTAAACGGGCATCCTCAGCGACCCTCGAGCTAAGAG